TTTGAGTTTGTAATAGATTAATAAGGATTTTAAATTTCTGCATCTTTATTTTTCAGTCAAATATTGGTGTATCTGTCCAAAAGCCCTGTAATAGCGTAGATTTTTCTTTTCCGCTTTAAATTTTCGCAACTATTAAACTGCTAGATGTATGGATAATAGTATTGAATGGTAAGACAAAGAACTTTAAAATGGTAGACAACCCTAATTGTACAAAGATAATTAACTGGAAAAAAAAGCACACTTGCACATGCTCACTCCTAGGGTTTGCTCCACTTGATTGCCTCAGAAATAATGGTCATGCCCCTCGAACGTAGGGATACCTTAGCAATGACCCGCGATTCAAAATCGTCATAAAGATTATAGTCCCTACTTGTCCCTCGATTTGCCTACGAATTGATCTTACGATGATAGTCCCTTCGAAATACTAAGGTATCATTACTTGTTGCCTTCAGAGACCATTTCGTCCCTTCGAACGTCCCTTTAAAATTCCAACGACGGAGCTACCTACTCCTTAATAGTAGGATAGCACTGTCTAAAGGAAATGAGAACGAACAATCTTTTTTTTCGAGTAGGTAGAAATCTTAAGTACTTGCTCAAAAAAAAACTTTTCACACAAACACTTTTCAAAAACAGTTTTCAAAACAACTTCGTCACACTCTTGAGGACCGATACAAGGGTTATCATGAAGTAAATAAAACTTTTCAAAACAAGCACACACAAGCAATTTAAAAAATGAGCAAGTACCTAAGAGCCCGTGGAAAACAACAGATAAAAAGGGTGCTAACACATTCCCTTTCTATAATCTACCCCCTCGTACTCAAACATCTCGAAAAAAGGTTTTTTTTGTTCTTTTTCCTTTTCCTTTGTTGGATGAAATAAAAGTCGATGGTGACTCTTGCTTACAGTGACATTTGCGAATACAAAATGCAAAACCAGTATAACAGTTGGTTCTGCCACCGTATCACAGGTTCTCTCCTCTTTTTTTTTTCTTCTTCTCCTTTTTTCCTTGTCCAAAATCCCCCATTTGTGTGTTGTGAAACAAACTATTTATAGAAGAGTCTCGGTGGGGTTTTGGGGGGAAAACAAATAAAATTTGAACAGTTTGGGTATGTTCTTTCATAGATTTCGAGGTGCAGCTCTTATATGCTAGTTTGGTGCAAATTAGGAGCAACATAGCATGACTGTTTTGTAGCAGTTTTGGAGTGTTGTGGTAGCTTGGTGCAGGGCTGTTTCATAACAGTGCAACAAACTGCTTTTGACATGGTTTTAGGTTGTTATATGGATAGTACAACAAGCTTGGGCTTGATAGCATATAGGATTTTGTTCAGCAAGCATCTTGAATACTCCACCCTTTTGTTTTGATCACATAAATCCACAACCTTCGACCAAACTCATCAACAGGCGAAACAATATTTGTTTCCAACAAATGTGTGTCCTTCGAATGGACCACACAACCTTCGACCAGACTCAACAACAGACGAAACAATATTTGTTTCCAACAAATGTATGTCCTTCAAATGGACCACATAACCTTTGACCAAACTCAACAACAGACGAAGTAATATTTATTTCCACCAAATGTGTGTCCTTCAAATGGACCACCCAACCTTTGACCAGACTCAACAACAGACGAAACAATATTTATTTCCACCAAATGTGTGTCCTTCAAATGGACTACACAACCTTCGACCAGACTCAACAACAGACGAAACAATATTTGTTTCCCCCAAATGTGTGTTCTTCGAATGGTCTCAAATATTGAGCATGCAAGATGATCTCATTGGCATAGCCAAAATGAAAGAATTCCTGGATTGCTTTCCTACCAGTAACCATCAGTTGATTAAGTGGTCTAAAGTTCAAATGTCCAAACCTCAAATTGTAATTCATAGTGTAGAAATTATGTGTGTCGAAGGGTTTAGAGGTGGAATCGAAGCAGGTCGTTTCGAAGGGAGCCATTGCCTTGTGGATCGAAGCAAGCATGAAGGAAGCCATTTCCTTATGGATCAAAAGCAAGCATGAAGGAAGCCACTGCTCAGTCGAAGCTTGCATGAAGGAAGCCACTGTTTTGTGGATCGAAGAAAGCATGAAGGAAGCCACTGTTCATTAGAAGCTTGTGGATCAAAGCTTCTTCTTCGATTTGTCCAAATCTGCCAACCACTCCTTTCGATCACTCATATAGCCTTAACCAGATTTTGAATTCAACATATTTACCTGCATATGCACACCTTTTTTATCTGCTTTGTACTTGTGCAAACTTGAGCTTTTGAAAATCTTTGTGAGAAATGTCTTGAGAAAAGAGAGGACAAATTTTGGGGTACAACAAGTCTTCTTCATAGTTGAGATATGATTCTCCTATCCCCATAGTAATGAACAAAGTAAATGTTGATTCTTTCAACTTGAGGGAGGTAGTGGCAACTTATTGATCCTATATCCAAGCTGGAGCCCTTCCTTCATGATGATGAAAGATCCATATTCTCATACTTGTGATGGAATTAGTTGAGTATTCTCCTTAAGATGACAAAATATCTCTTCTCTCAAAATCAATCATAACAAACCATTTTGTCATTTTTACCACGAACTACGAGGTTTCGATCCTTTATTGGTACGTAGGTATAAGACTCTGTCTTACCAAACAAAAATATAATAAAAGTATGTTTATTTTCTCATCCCCGCACTCATTTAGCAAGCAAACCAATTTTAACCAAAAAATAGATAATTCAAAAGGTTCCTGTAAAGTATTATAGATAAATAGGTTTCTAATATCTTCCCTTTGTATAAACTAACCCCCGTACCTTAGATCTCGTCTTTATGCTTTACTTTTAGTTTTTATTTCTTGCATTGTATGTTTAAACATAAGGTTTTGATCTTTTCCCCTTTCCTTGGAAAAAATAAAGTTCGGTGGTGACTTCTTTAATTTTGTGAGTCAAGTTAGTCAATAGCTTGGTCTCCTGATTTTTCACCGCGACAACTGCCACTAGAGCATACATACTACATCTGGTGGCATGTACTCTCTTTGCATACAAGTTTGGAGTTTACATTGATGTTCGCTACATGTCTCTTTTCAGTACCCTTGACACTCCATGCTGGGCTTAGGGAGTGGTAGCGTTGACCATTTTGTACGCAACACTTGGAGTTTCTACGCAGCATGAGACCAGACAACTGACTAGTTACCTTAGCCTTTTACAGGTATACTAGAATTTATTTGTTGGTTTTTATTAGTTACTTGAGTTTACTAAATTGTGTTTTATATATAAAGTGATAGATATAAGAGCACTTCCCCCGCATCTATGAGCGGAAGACCCAACGTGTCCCACCCAGTGTTCCATGTGTGAGGAGATGGAAGGGAAAATAAGCCATTCCAGGAGGTTTTTGGATACCATGTACATCTCGCCGGGCCCATCGTCCATTTGACGACACAACTTTGTATTTAAGGTATATTAGGTGGGAGAACCATGTGGCTAGACACTTGTCTGAGAGATGTCTATGATAATATGGTTACGTCCAGGATATCCCTCATCCAGTTCCATAGTCTCCATCTGGTGGCATTGGTAGGTGGTTCCAGAGTCACATCATCAGCTCTGCCCGTGAGATCAGGGATACAACAATTATGGTCCAGGATCGTGCATAATGCAATGATGGATACCTAAAGTGGTATCACAATATATTACACCCCCGGGTCATACCACCAACTAGGATTTCTGATGTACCGGGACCTTCACGTGCTAGGTTTTCTGCCAAGCCGCCACCACATGCAGGTGACCGGGACAACCGACTACAATTTATTGTTTTTTATTTAGATAACCTCATGGGTTTGGTAAACCTTGATGGTAAGATTTTTACAGGCTTATCTAGGTTAGCCGACATAGTCTGTGGGGGGTATATGTAGATCTGTTTCATTTTAGTTGTATTATATGTATATTTTGTGACACATAAACTTCTTATTCATTGCGTAATATTCTGACGATTACATGTTTCAAATCGATGATGAACATAACATAAACCAATACAACAAACATAAACTAAAAACAACTAAACATGAAAACCTAGCACTACAAGATTCATTAGGTCGTCGACAGATCTTGTTATTCGCACATCCAACTCGATCAGACCCTTGGTTATCCTACGCCAACATGATTTCCACATGGCCTTAACATCTTCGTCGGTCTTCAACTCAAATCAGGTTTTATTTCACCCAACCATCTGTATCAATCCAATGTTCTCGAAACTTGATCTTACTCACCCTTTAGTTATCGGTATCAGACACTAACTCATTCAACTTGTCTGTCAAGTTGGTGAGGGGTGTGGAGCCATTTGAAAGCTTGAATTCAACAGAAGGACTATCTTTGTTGAAATACACTTCAATCTTAATCAGAAATTGCGGAAGAGACATTTTTTTTAATGTCTTTCTCTATAATATATATCCCTATTTATACAAATGACGACGCATTCTAGACCACACAAATTTGTTGGTACAATCTGAACCCTTCAAAGATGTCGGTAAAATCCTGACTGTTAAAAAAACTTGAATACATGAACTATCGAAAATTTCAGTACATCTCAAATTTTCAGTATTGTCAGATAAATTTGAAATTTCCAGAATATAGAAATTTCAAATATACCGAAAATTTAAACCAACCAAAATTTTTAAAAGGATCTATCCGAAATTTTCCCAATATAAGAAATATTTAATTCGAAAATTCTTTATATCTCACCTAAAGTAATTTTAAAATAATGAAAATTAAGATGCGTCGTATTTAATATGAGAGGTGTCATGTTAAATCTATCATAGATAGTAGTACATTTTAGTTGAAAGTTGAAAGCATGGGCCGCGAAGCCCACAAAATTCCAAAACAAAACGCGAACTGTAGTAAAAACCGCGGTGCTCATACAAGAAACGAAGAATTAGGGTTTAAGGCTGAAAATCAAATCCAACTCCATTTTTGCGCTCAAACTAACACCATAACATCACAGTGCACCATCTTCCACCTCAGAAACCGAAAATGGAGCAAGAACCATCCACACTCGGAAAACGAAGAGAATCCGAAAGCACCACCACCGGCGACACTTCTTTAAAACCAAAGAAACCTCGCAGTCTAGAACGCACTTGCGTCCACGAAGTCGCAGTTCCAACCAATTACACCTCAACCAAAGACGAATCCCTCCACGGAACACTCTCCAATCCTCTCCACAACGGCACCATGGCGAAAACCTACTCCTTCACACTCGACCCCTTCCAGCAAGTCTCAATCGCCTGCCTCGAACGAAACGAATCCGTTTTGGTTTCCGCTCACACTTCAGCCGGGAAAACCGCGATTGCGGAGTACGCGATCGCAATGGCGTTTCGAGATAAACAGAGAGTTATCTATACTTCGCCGCTTAAAGCTCTGAGTAACCAGAAATACAGAGAGCTTAGTCAGGAATTTAAAGACGTAGGGTTGATGACTGGCGATGTTACGATATCGCCGAATGCGACGTGTCTTGTTATGACTACGGAGATTCTTCGGGGAATGTTGTATCGTGGTTCGGAGGTTTTGAAGGAAGTTGCTTGGGTTATATTTGATGAGATTCATTATATGAAGGATCGTGAGAGGGGTGTTGTTTGGGAGGAGAGTATAATCTTTTTGCCACCTGCTATTAAGATGGTGTTTCTTTCGGCTACTATGTCGAATGCTACGGAATTTGCGGAGTGGATTTGTAATATTCATAAACAGCCGTGTCATGTTGTGTATACTGATTTTAGGCCAACTCCGTTGCAGCATTATGTTTTTCCTAATGGTGGGAATGGGTTGTATTTGGTTGTGGATGAGAATGAACAGTTTAGGGAGGATAATTTTGTTAAGCTGCAGGATACTTTTTCTAAGCAGAAAGTTGGTGATGGGTTTAGGGGTGGTAAATCTAATGGTAGACATGGGAAAGGTGGTTCTGCTGGTGCTGGTTCTGACATATACAAAATTGTTAAGGTCAGTTACTTCTGCCATTCCTTGTGTTAGTCATCAACCATAGTTATCAATTTTTTTGGGTGAAACTGGTTGTCATATTAGTTAATTATATGTATTATTAACAATTTGCTTTGTAGAGGATCTTGTTCATTGTGATGGAAAATCGGCTTATTAAATGATATATTGTCTTATTCTCAAGATAATGAATTCATCTGTTCTGGCTTTTATTGAAATATATAGAGTTTTTGGAAAGTTAAGTAGTTCGCAGACATATTGGTACATTATATGAATTTATTGTATATAGGGAGTCTAGTATTGATAGGAAAATTAATATAACCTATTTTTTCCGGGTACAAAATGGGGTAATTTATAGAATGTTGCGCTTTTCTGTTCGGAGAAGACAAGTACGTTTTAGAGAGCTACCACCTGTTCTTCAAGCCGAACATCCTGCATTCAGGATTCATGAAAAAAAGTACAACTACTTAAGTAGTTAGTTGTTGATTGATGAGTTCTTGATTCATTTATATTTTGTTAAGGAGTAAATATTATTAGATGGGAGAAAGGAAGGGGTGAATATACAGTTATACACTTGTCAGCAGATTAGAAGAAGTATCTGTATTTGTTCATTTTAAAAATATAATAAATTCTGACACGGCGACGATGCGGCTCCCATATGCCACAGATATGACAATGACTCTTCATTTTTTAGTGCATCAATATCAGAATTTTTTTCTTTAATGACCATTCACTCACCTTTAATTACATATTCTCTTTAATAACCCATTTAAGTTTTTCTTATTGTTGCCATTTTTCAAGATTGGTTTTTTTCCCCACAATTCCTTATCAATACCAATGTTTCAAATTTAATTCAGTTCAATGGATACTTACTTTTTACGTATTAATGTTTTTTTGTAAAGGAAAAGTCTAGGCTCTATAGTATTACCAATATCTTAGTTTAGAATTAATATTTAATAATGTGTTAAAAGTTGTGTTGTGAGTTTTGTTTCTGTTAGACTTGATTTAACTAATATTTATTTTAATTTTTGGATACGTGTCTGAAATAAATCCTATCTGATACTCGTATCGTGTCTCCGCTTTATTGAATTTGGTACTCGTATTGTATCCGATGAAGGGTACTCTTTTAAAAATGCCATGAACTTGATACTTGTAAGGTATCTGATAAAGGATACTGTTTAGAAATGCCGTGAACTTTACACATTTGTAGGTGCCTAATCATATTAAAGCAATATTGTGAAATGTTTTGATAAACTTTGGGTCATTTGAGAGGGGTATAATTCTTGCACTTTTGATGATATCTACTAATAACCAGTTGCTTTTGAATATGATTAGGCACTAAGGCACATGGCTACGGATGTGTAAAGTTCATGGCATTTTAAAAGAGCGTCCTTTACACTTATGTTGACGAATTTGGTAGCTTTATTACACTGATTGTGTTTATTGTTCATGGATATACACTTTTACTTTCTCTATTTTATGAAATGTTTTTTATCCTCTGTCCTATTTTATTACTTTTTATTTTAGTTGGTATATTTCTTAATTTTCAGATGATCATGGAAAGGAAATTCCAACCTGTCATCATCTTTAGCTTCAGTAGGAAAGAGTGTGAGCAGCATGCAATGGCTATGTCTAAGCTTGACTTTAATACCCAAGAGGAAAAGGATACAGTGGAGCATGTTTTTCGGAATGCAGTGCTCTGTTTGAATGAAGAAGACCGGAGCTTGCCTGCTATCGAGATGATGTTGCCACTACTTCAGCGAGGAATTGCTGTCCACCATTCTGGCCTTCTTCCTGTCATCAAAGAATTGGTTGAGCTTCTTTTCCAGGAAGGTCTTGTAAAGGCCCTCTTTGCTACTGAGACAGTAAGATTTTGTCAAGCTTCTGATTTTTTTTTCTAAAATTCTCTTGATAATATATTTTTGGAAGACTACTTAGAAGCATTTTACTACAGTTTGCAATGGGTTTAAATATGCCGGCAAAGACTGTTGTATTCACTGCAGTTAAGAAGTGGGATGGTGATAGTCACCGGTATATTGGCTCTGGTGAATATATACAGGTGAGTGATGTTTTTTTTGGGCAGTGGTGATTGAGGACTTATTCATTCTATCGGGTATCACAATTCTTACTTACTACTATAATGATATGGTCCCTTTAGATGAGTGGAAGGGCCGGGCGTCGTGGCAAAGATGAGCGTGGGATTTGTATCATAATGATTGACGAGGAGGTGAGTCTATTGCCAGTCATTTTTTGTTTTCTATTCCTCCAATGCAGCATAATGAAATATGCACACCTAGCCACTTTTATTGACCCTTTTCCAAAGTAGTATTTTAATAGTCACCCTTCTTAATTTTATTTTTACCGGGAAAATTTAAAAATGGCAGTTTGATATTTCTTTTGACAAGTATACTTGGTATATGATTAAATATATTTCCTTTAAAAAATAGCTTATATATTTTTTGCTTTGATAAATATATTTCCTTTAAAAAATAGCCTATATCTTTTTTAATGTTGTTGGTCGAAAGATGGTTCAATACATTTAAGTCGAGTTTATTTCAGAATCTTCTTGTAAAAAGTGTGAGACAAAATTCAAGATTAAGGGGGACAATTTGTAAGCGCTCTCGTAGAACTGTACCATAAGAGATAGGAAAACAATTTGTTGGCTATCATTATTCTCTCTAAAATGGAAGGGATTGCAAAATCCAAGGGCAATAAACAGTGTTGTCTGTCTACTATTCTAATTTTAACCAATCAGCTGTTGATACAATAGTCAACAGAACTGTTATTGTGCTGTTCTAACCTATATACTAGGTTCCGATACTTTGACCAACTATACATACTTCTCGGATAGTAATCATCTAGTAGCAATTTAAATAAACCAAACAATCGTTTTAATAAAATAATATTACAACAAAAAATAAAACTAAGCTATTTAACTTGACTCTAGTCAGATTAGAAGTTCAAATTAAAAAGAAATCAAAATGGGTATGATTTCTTTTTATTCTAACTAGAGTCAAGTTAAATAGCTTAGTTTTAATTTTTGTTGTAATATTATTTTATTAAAACGAGATGGAGCATGATACTATTTAGTTATGTGTAAGGCATATGTTTCAACTCTTTCAAGACTATGATAGACCCCATGAACAAGGAGGTTACCTGCTCTGTTTGTAATAGCATGTAATTATTCATTTTTATATCTTTCTGTTTTCTCTTCATATGTTCATTAACAGAGTCTGTGAATTAGGCTTTCAAAAGCACTTTTTTTTTGTATAATATATTGGACATGTATTTGTGCGTGCTTGAAAATTCTGTTATTTATATACTAAATCCTGTTGGTTTTTTTGGTACTTCCCTTTTCATGTGGTATGGCTGCAAGACTATAAGTTAGGTGCTTTGTATCGTGTTCAAATTATATTAGTTATTATGGTATGTCTTAGAATGTGTGAGTTGGGCCTAACTCAACCCTACAAAACCGGCTTGTAAGGTGAGGATTACTCCCACTTATAAAGTCATGTTCAGGCCATATATTGTCCGATGTGGGACTCTTAACACCCCCTCTCAACTAAATGGTGGGTGGCCCAATGGATCTTAGATGAGGCTCTGATACCATCTTAGAATGTGTGAGTTGGGCCTAACTCAACCCTACAAAACCGGCTTGTAAGGTGAGGATTACTCCCACTTATAAAGTCATGTTCAGGCCATATATTGTCCGATGTGGGACTCTTAACAGTATGTGTCAAAGTCTCTTTGGTTTGAGTTTAGGCAGAAAACTAACACTTATTGTTTTTGCCATACTATTTGTGTGTGCTTGAAAATTCTGTTATTTATATAATGAATATTGGTTTTTTGGTGCTTCCCTTTTCACGAGGAATGACTGCAAGACTATAAGTTAGGTGCTTTATATTGTGCTCGCATTCTATTCTTTATCATGGTATATATGTCGGTCTCTGGTTTGGTTTTGGACGGAACTAAAACTTATTGGTTTTGCAATACTGAACTCAACATTATCAAATTGTTTTGCACAGATGGAAATGAATACCCTCAAAGACATGGTTCTGGGTAAACCTGCTCCTTTAGTTAGTACATTCAGGCTTAGTTACTACTCAATTTTAAATTTGATGAGCCGTGCAGAAGGCCAATTCACTGCCGAACACGTCATAAGAAACTCATTTCATCAATTTCAATATGAAAAGGTTTGTACCCAACCATTTCCTTAAAAAAATTATTTGTATTTCGTGCACTGTAACTGTGATGTTTAACTTGTGGACTCCCCCATATTAAGGCCTTACCTGATATGGGAAAAAGGGTATCTATGCTGGAGCAGGAAGTAGCCTTGCTTGATGCTGCAGGGGAGGTAATCTTTATTCCCGGTCCACATTTTTTTTGTAAATTATATTTTGTGTGGCTTTAATATATTGATATTGACATTTGATTTACTATTTGCTATTATTCATTATTTGTGTAGGCTGAAGTATCTGACTATCATAAGCTGAAATTAGAATTAGCTCTTCTTGAGAAGAAGATGATGTCGCAAATAATAAGACCTGAAAGGATTCTTTATTTTCTTGTCCCTGGTCGATTGGTAAGTGGTAGTTATCATTGGCGCAGAGTTGAGTTAGATTTTTTTCTTGCTTCTCTAATTAATCCTGATCATTAGCATGTAAGTGAGTTTATGATATCATAAATTCATCTGTATGTGTGTGTACGTTTTAATTTTCAGTATTAAATGTAAATTATTTCCTACATTGTCTCTGGTTTATACTTGCATCAAACACCACTAAAATAGATGGTTTTGTTAATCTTGCAGATTAAAGTAAGAGAAGGCGGGACAGATTGGGGCTGGGGTGTTGTAGTCAATGTTGTTAAGAAACCTGTTGGTGGTTATATAGTTGACACTTTACTTCATTGTGCACCTAGTTCAAACGAAAACAGTATACGGTCAAAACCATGTCCACCGCGCCTTGGAGAGAAAGGTGAAATGCATGTGGTAAGCTGCCATTTTGACTGTCATGCTACTTTTTCCGGGCTTGTTTACTCATTTCACTTTACATATCCCAATAACAGCTACGTTCTCTTGACTGCTTCCTTTTGCAATAGGTTCCTGTTCAATTACCATTAATCTCTGCGCTTAGTAAACTAATGATAAATGTACCTCCTGATCTCCGGCCTCTGGAAGCTCGGCAAAGTATACTCCTTGCTGTTCAGGAGCTGGGCAATCGTTTTGCTCAAGGTCTTCCAAAGCTTAACCCTGTAAAGGTAAAGTTTTCCATCCTCAACTATCTTAAATTGTGGTATGTTCTCTACTTTTGCTATCAGAATTAAGGGGTGACTGTTCTAGGCTCTTCTTTGAATGATATTAGACACAATTTTTATGTAAACTGTAAGGCAAAAACTGTAGCAAATTTATTGGTCTCCAACATTGATCTTGGCAATGTCTGTGCATGTTTTAATATTTTTATTGCAGAGTCAAAGACCTGCCTTTTTGCATCATATTTTTTCCTCTTTATCAATGTTAATCTTATAATTTCTCTATCTCATTGTCTTTTAAGCAAGGAAAGTTATCTTAGCACATGCTCACAGCTGTATTTTAGTGATCTTTAAAATAATCACACCATTTAATTATTGTTCTTAAATAAATTTCCAGGACATGGATGTAAAAGATTCAGAGATAGTTGAACTTGTCAGTCAAATAGAAGAGCTTGAGAAAAAGTTGCTTGGTCATCCTCTGCATAAGGTTTTCTAAAATTAATCTGATCGATATTCTGTACGTATAAATGTGATAATGCTGGTCTTTGGTTTGAAGTTTCTTCAACACTTTGCTGTAAGTTAGGTTCAAGATGTAGATCAAATTAAGAGCTTTGAGAGGAAAGCTGAAGCGAATCATGAACTTCAACACCTGAAAGCAAAAATGCGAGACTCCCAGGTATTGACTTTGCTGAAGCCTCATTATTTGCTGAAGTAAATTATTAAGCTGGACTTACATGTTGGAGTTTAGAACTGAATGGGAGACAAGAAAGTATGTGCTATGCATTACATATAAGCCTATGTAACCAAATGTGGATAATTGACAACTTAACAGTTGATAGTAGGTTAATATGATAGTTTTGTCCATGACAAATATTGAGTGCACCGTTCTTGAATGTGGACAATGTTTAACAGTACTCGTTTATTTATTTTCCTAAACTGTTGATTGCAAACTTTATATCAATATTTCAGCTGCAAAAATTTCGGGATGAACTTAAAAATCGCTCTCGAGTCTTAAAGAAGCTTGGTCATATTGATGCTGATAGTGTAGTTCAATTGAAAGGAAGAGCTGCCTGCTTGGTCGACACAGGCGATGAACTCCTTGTTACTGAATTAATGTTTAATGGTGAATCAATAAGCATTTGGTTGTTCTTTTTTCTGTATGACTTAGAGTTTGTGTCACACAATCTGATTTTTCTCCCTTTCTTATATTCATTTCTCTTCCTCATTAGGCACTTTTAATGATCTTGACCATCATCAAGTTGCTGCTCTTGCAAGTTGTTTTATACCAGTAGATAAATCAAGTGAGCAGATACAACTGAGATCAGAGCTTGCGAGACCTCTACAACAGCTTCAAGATAATGCGAGAAGAATAGCAGAGGTGCTCTATCATTTAACTTAATATTTTTTGTGAATTTGTGAATTAAATTATAACTGGGATTACTCTATGGTTATAGATACAACACGACTGCAAATTGGAAGTAAATGTGAATGAGTATGTCGAATCAACAGTAAAGCCATTCTTGATGGATGTAATATACTCTTGGTCTAAGGTTCGTAATATCATATTTTTGACTCGAATATCTTTTCTTCTTTTAAGTTGTTTGCTTGATTTCTTGAATGAAAACTGAAAATTCTATACCTCTATAAATTGTTATTTATATTCCTGAATAAGTTTCCAGAGTAAAAATTCTATTACATATGTCTTGGTTGACTAAATTGCATAGATTGCTATTTGAACTAGAGAAACCTCTGGAATAATTTAGTAGTAAATGGTTTGCTTGTTAGCTGTTCAGATTAGAAGTTGGGGATTGTAGTTGGTCATCTTGCTGCTTTTTAGTCAAAGGAAAAAAAAGAATAGGCGGGAATTCTAAACACGGGGTTAATGTTTTCAGAGAGCCCTGTTTATTCTTCACTCTACTGGTTCCTGGAAGATTACCGTAATATCATTCTTGTCATCTTTTAGTTCATTCTTTTCTTGTATTCTTAGCTGTTCATTCTTTTCTTCTATTCTTAGCTGTGTCATTTTTGCTTGATAAGTAATTGGTATGAACATGTGAGAGAAACTTGATTTCTGCTACTGTGTGATGTTTTTGATTTCATGGGTTTTTAGAGATCAGGCCCTTACCGATTCCTGTGGTCCTTTCCCATTTTTACTTTATTTTGTTATTCTTTTGGATAATATTTTATGCTCTGTCCAGTTGTTACTTAACTTCTTCTTGCAGCACACAAGTTGTGTTTACCATTAAAAAAATGATTTAGTTACTCAAACCTCTTGCTTTGCATTTCTTATAGAAAGCCACCATTCTTTAAAACTTCTCCAAGTGACCAATTTTGTATAAGAACTAGATGTTTTGCATATTTAACCAAAAGCCTGCAACAAAGTTTTTTTTGTTGCAATTTTGTCCTAAAATAATAGCTAACCAAATCTACAATGGGTTGAAGGTTTTTTTTATGTTTTTTATTTTAGGAATGTGCAGTGAAATGTATAGGGGGCTGATGGACAATAACGATTTATGGATATAATTGGATTGGTAGAAGGTGTTGAGAGTACCACATTGGATGGAATGTAGTCTGAAAATGTGAATAAAATTGGGAGACATCTGATGTAATATAGTTTCAGAATATATCCAAGATTTGTTTGGCCATCTGATGTCTTACCATTGCTCTAGTTTATAAACCTAATGTGTTGAAAGTCTCACATTAGATGATACATAGTCCTGGAAATTTGTTTACAAGTGGGAAGCCTCTCTCACCTTACAAGTCGGTTTTGTTAAAATGAATTAATCTCAATACTAAAACCTATTAGTGGGGAATGGTGTGCAATGCCATAAGTTATTATTTTTTGAACATTAGACTCAAGCACTCACATTTCTCTCCCTCCCTACCAAAAAAAGAATATAAGTTGAGGTAATATGATATTTAGCTGAACCACACCTTTAAAGATAACTCTTGCCATTTTGCCCACCTGGGAAACTTTGACAGGAGTTAGCTTAAGGAAATTTAGCATTTGACGGTCCATGTGGAAGAGGAAAGTAAAAAGGGTTGAGGATAATCAGATATTTTCTTATAATATTCAATCATCACACTACCTGTCGAGAACCCTTCTGAGCTGGAGACACTGTCTTTATGTAGTTGGAATTATGAACACGTGTTGTCATGGTTCTGTTTGTAGCTTGTGATTAGTAAATTTCAGTCATTGTAATAGAGCCTAAAATCATCCATTGAACATGCCTGATAACAAAATTTGTGAAATGTAGGCATTTGAGTTGGTTTTCATGGTTGTTAGTCGTCGACGTCGTAGACAACATAGCAACATGTGCCAGAAGCTCTCACCTATTAAAGGGGTTCTTCTTGCTTCATAATGTATGGATTCAAGCTCGTACTTAGACAATAAATTAACAACTTAAAGTGCACATACATACATACACACTGGCCTGTCACTGAAATTTCATTGTCAAATACACTGCGCCTAAACACACATTCTGCTACTCTTGATTCATTACCAAGGGGTCTTCAAAGTTGACTCATCTGTGCTGATCTTAATTCTTTACCAAGAGGTCTTCAAAATACTCATTTATGCTGATTGTTATACTAAATCTCATTTTAGATTGCTTGCATTATAAGGCACATATAGACATCCTCACTGCAGCAGTTAGTATGCTTCCTCTAATGAGTGGAAGAAAAGAGTAGTAGTTAATGTATTGGTTTGTTAGTTTTTATTAACCTCTTGTTTATTGTTTCTTATTTTTGATCTAGGGGTCTAGTTTTGCCGATGTTACTCAAATGACTGACATCTTCGAGGGCAGTATCATTAGGGCTGCTAGAAGGCTTGATGAGTTTTTGAATCAGGTAACCAAATGGTTTCATTTTCGATGGTTTATTTGCCTTGTACTTTCATGTTGCAAAATAAATACACCCTTCTATGAATAAAGTGAAAAAGAGCTAATTAAAAGTAGAAAGTGTATGGGTTAAAGTAGCGGTTGTTGACTTGTGTTTCAGCAATTATTTTTACCATTGTAAAATTAGTTTCTGACACATTTCCGGCCTAATTAATTGTTTGGAAACAAAATGAAAATAATTCAGTTGACAAGATGAGATTTTAGAGTTGTGATCTGCTATGACCTTATTTGCCTCTTTCCAGTTGCGTGCTGCTGCTGAAGCAGTTGGAGAAGTTGACTTGGAGAAGAAATTTGCAGCAGCAAGTGAAAGCCTTCGACGTGGTATTATTTTTGCAAATTCTCTGTATCTGTGATTTATTCTCCTGCCAACCACTCCCTACATTCTTGATTACTCTGGCTGGAGGACAGCTACTACCTTCACATCCCTCCTTTCTGGGTGCGCTCAATACGTACTTAAATTTTCTCTTGTAAATACTTTTTGTTCAATTTAACTGCTCGTAGTATAGGAGTTGTTGTACACTAGAGTGATAGATGACCTAATGTGGTATGATCATTGATCTATTGATTTTAATTCAGATTGGTAATATATTTTGCATGTAAGTCTACCTTCAGAACCTTTTGTCTGTACCGGGGCTTGGGAAGTGGGGTAGCAATGAAGTTACTGTAAAAGGTAATTGTTTATTTGCAGATGAGTCATTCTGGCACGTAAACATTTCCAAAGCAAATTTTGTTCGACAGTTATTTATTTTAGTGATCGTCTGAATATTTGGTTTGGTTAAACCGAGAATATGGATGCTAATTGGAACTTATAAGTGAAAATCTGCATTGATTAAGTGTTGGGCACTTGTACTAGTACTTGGATTATCAATGTTAGAAACACTTTCTTAATGTAATTCACGAAAAGCATTTTGTAATTCATCAATATTAGAATCACTAATCTCATGTTCTTCGTCACTTGAATGATGTGATGTCCATTAATGTCTTACTTGCATGATCTTCATCTGAAGATGAATTTATTTGATTGTAATTCCATGTTATATATGATTTCTTTGGCCTTTTGTCTATCTTGTCTTTGAATTTATTATTATTTTTAAGTGTAGGACATTCACTCTTGACATGTCCTCTTTTTTCACATGCAAATCATATAACCTTCGTTATTGGTGCTTCTTTTTTATTCATCCTATAAGATCATTATCTTCATTAGTGTAATTATTCTCCTGATTGTTATTACAATTTTTGACTCGTTTTCAAGGCAATATTTCTTAGAATTATTTTCTTGATTTTTATGTTTCTCCAAATTTTCAAGTTTTATTTCATACTCTGAGTTTTCTGAACAATGCTTAGAAGAGTTTTTTACTTGTATATTTGATTTGTTATCACCTAATTAGAAAGTTACAGAGCCTATTTAGGAAAAGAAATTTTTAGGGTTGGAGTTGATTTTTTTTCTTTTCTAAATTAAACAAAGTCACAAAATATTTCTTAAATAGTGTAACTGAATTGATATATTTTTACATGTTATATAATGATAAATTGTAGGGGGGTGTTCGTGGTGTAGTTTGGGCGGTTTTGAAGTAAAAAATTATCTAAACTGCAAGAGCAAAAAATATGCAGTTCGGTTTGGTTAGGTTGGTTTTTAAAAATAAATCCGAATTAAATCAAACCAAATTAATATGGTTTGGATTGGTTCGGTTGGTTTGATTTTTTACAAAAAATTATTAAGTCATACATAGATATATAGAGGAAAATATAATTTTGTGTTTAATTGTTCATACATTATTATAAAAAAATTTATAATTGTCAAAATAAGTTTGTAATTTGATACATAAAATTGCGTATTATAATTTAATCTAAATTTAAAGAATGATCTAGACAAAATTGCATTCTTAAATAAATATTATACAAAGAATATAAAAAAATATATTTTGTGAAAATAGTATTTATTTATAAATGAATACAATTTTTTTTATATAATTTGTAAATTAAAATAAATATCATACAAAGTATGATAAAATATACACATAATACATATTGATTTCTCTAAAGAATTAAAAAAATATTGATTTCTTTAAAGAATTAAAAAAAAAATTGGTTAGTAAGATTTTATAACATAATGCGGTTTTGTTTTGTCTGGTTTAATTTGTAAAATATAAATCGTAAATTGAACTGAATCGCGCGATTCTGTTAAAAAATGATTCAAACACATCCGAACTAAATATAATTTTTACGGTTTCGGTTTGATTCGATTTAGTTTTGCGATTTCCTATTAAACCAATTTGATTTTAAACACCCCCTGATAAATCGTTTATGGATATATGGATATGCGGAATGCATAGGATTTTATGTATCTTACTTGTAACATTTCATGTGCTAAAAGTAGTGAAATTTGCTACTATCAATCACTTAAACTTCCACTTTTAGCCGTTTTAGTTTTAATTAGAACTATAATGCACAATAAGTCATTGATCGTATATCTATCTATCTTTTTGTATTCATTCTAAATAAATTATTTAAAATTGATTATTTTTATTTTAAATAAATTAAATTTCAAAAGTAATAATATTTTTTTAACTGTATTTTATTGACCCTGATGATTCATTGCCGTAAAAAATTAGAGGATGTTGATTACTCCTTATATCTTACTAGTACCTATTTTGACGAAATTCCAAAAATAAATATTAAAAAAGTCTGGATTGGATTATGGTGTCTAGGTTATGTTTGGGAGATTAAACTTTGGTCGTGTTTCCACACACACCTATGCTTAATCTCAAAATCATGTAAAAATATATTTAAAAATACATAGATTTTAATGTTCAAAGTTTTTACAGATTGAAATCCAGATGCTTCGGTTTAAGTATTCACGTCCAACCCTTTCACTCTCTTTGCTTTTTCATTTAAACAAAATTAACAAAACAGAGCTAACAAAGCTCGCGGGCAAGCTCTTGTTCTAGCATTTTCAATTTTTCTCACAACTTTTACTTCAATGAATTCAAGTTTAACACATCTCTCAATTTCTACTTCACTATATTCAATTTAATATTATCCATCTTTCACACTAGGTAAGTTTTTCATTTTCTTATTTTTTCTTTTATATTTGAGATGTATGGATTATCTAAATAGGTTATAGTTATGATACATTAGGTTATATGCAATCAATATGTTATACTTGTTTTGTCTTAAATTGCTTGTGTTTGAAATGGTGAATGTTATGGTTTAGGGTTCGTAAGCCCCATTTCTGCTTCTCCTGTCCTGATTTCTCCAGTCTAAATTTTAAAATCTGAACTTAATTTGGATAATAAAATTTGGATTTGCCTCTTACGTGTTATGATTTCTGGTTCAATTTGCTAATAATTTTGTTGATTATGATATGCTTTTTCTTGTTTGATAATAGGAAAAATGACCGAGAGACACGATATAATGACTCAAAATGCTTTCTTTCGCAGGGAGAATGCTAGACCCCCGTGACCTGCAGTTGGAGAAACTTTATTTGATGCTAAAGCATCATCTTCTCGGGTTCATTTGTCTCTAACATCGTCTTTCTGAGTTCATGTGTCACTAGTTTATTATGAAGTCCCTACTGCCCAAAAGTCTCTGCTACATCTAATGCGGTCGTGCTCAATAGTTTTTCGGGAGGCTCTTTAGATCTTTTATTACTACCTCTATATGTATACTATTGTACCCCAAAATTTTCTCTCTCATTTTACTCAACATATGTTTATTGAGATCCTCAACTTGCCCAAGGATGCCTAAGGATTGACCAGACAAATCGTCCTCCTAAGACAATGAGCCTCAAACTAGGGTTTCACTCCTCATCAAGATGTTTAAGTTCCAAGGGTCCTAAATGATTTCCACTGCCCTAATATGTTCTCAAGATCATCCATGTCAAGTTTCATGCCTTGCACAAGAAGTTTGCTCAGTCAACTGTTCAGATGCTTGAAAATCAACTATATTAGGTCAAAAGTCAACTGTGGTCCACATACAGTCAAACTTCAGGATTTTTGGTCAACATCAACATTTTGAAGTGATATCCATTATTTTATCAAGGGTTGATCATGATTCCTCAAGAAATGTCTCAAATTCATCAAAACTCAAAAGTTGCTAAATTAGAGTTTCTATAGGAAAAGTCAACCAAACATTGACCAGGCATAACTTCCTCATACTTTATCAGAAATTTCACATCCAAGACTCATTTTTAATAAAATTCAATTCCCTACAATTCATCTTCAGCCCTCAACTTCAAGAAATGCACTCACGAAAAGATATAAATTCAGATATTATAGGTCCTTTTCAAAAAGTCAACAAAAACACCTTTTGGGTCAAAGCTTCTTACATGAACATGGAAGATCCAATTGAGATGAAACCAAAGAGGTTACCTAGGGGACACCCTAAGCTTTCTAAAAAGTCTAAGAACACCTTCTTAAACTTAAAATTGACAGAGATATGCATTGTCAAAGTTGACCATTTTTAAAAATTTGCCCAAAGTCAATAATGCTCAAAATTACATATTTTGCCAAATGGGCCTAACTTTTTATGCTTGCATTATGCTTCAAACATGGCCCACAACCCTTGAGCTCACTCATATATTTTCCTATTATTTTGATTATTTATTTATTAAAAGTCAAAATAAAATAAATAAATAATGAAAAATATGTAAGATATGATTGTGAATCTTTTTCTCATCAAATAAACATCAAAATGTGCTGGCAAATCAGAGGAGAATCATGGAAAGAGAGCAAGATTGGATTTGTTCCAAGAATGAGCAAAAATCAAATCATTGAAAGCAAATATTTTCCTCATTGAAAGCATGGATTTCTTTCTTCTTTTGTTAACCTAATATGTTCCAATACATATAGACAACATTTCCAGACCTAGAACACACGAAAAAGCTGCCTCCACGCATCCAGAAAAAGCTCCAAATTTTGATAAAAAAGTGGTGATCAAGTTCCAATTTAGAAGGCGATTCAAAGGGTTTCAAGGCCAGCAATCCACTCCTGGGAACCTCCTGAAGCTAACAGTACCATTTACACTCCTCAAAACTCCAGAAATCATCGCATAACATCATCACGGTTTGCCATTTTTTCAAATTTGTATCCATATATTCTTGCATTGTTAATCTATTTTGATTACATATTCGTGTTCATATGAATGCCTAGAATCTTTTTGCATATTTAATTTTTAGTTTTGATACATCAATGCCAAATTGCCATTGTTAGGGTTTTAACCTCCGTTTTAGGGCTTTGAGATGCAGGGAAAATTGGACCAAAAGAAGGTTACCATGATACTCGTGAGATCAAAACGAGTTGATCTGTATGCTTAGAATTGATTTATCATGCTTGGTTTTGATTTTTGAGATTTG